GCTTATTCAAATGGGGTTTCATTGCGTACTACTGTGCTGCAATGAGTTTTGCCGGACACCAATCAGCTGATTATACTGTATTTAGGTGGCAGTGAGTAGTTATAAACAAAAACATAACCTCTTGACTAGTGATTTTTAGTCCTTTAGTTGGTGGAAATAAGGATTTGTACGGATTTAGTAGTATGGCGTAAACTATCGTACGTAACTCGTCCAAAATGTGTGTACACACTTATTTTCAGGACTAGTAACGTAATATACTATTTCACAACATAAATGTTTTACAATCTACAGAGACATGTATTTCTTTTGTTTGTCGTGACTAGCAAATTATGTAACTACAGTGATAAGACAAGCAAGGTCTGTTGTCCTTCAGCTTTTGGCATACTAATCACACATTCTGTCTTCAATTCTCTGCCCTTGCAGATACGGAAGTGTGTGAGCCCTCAAATAATTTTCCTCTATTGTTAAATTAACATAACGGCTTCAAGCATTTGTTACATTTTACCTGTACATATTGAGTGCCAAGAAACAGGGTCTGACTATCTTGCAATTTTAAGCAAAAAGGTAGTGTTCAAAAATTTATTAATTGACAGTTACTACAATATGTTTTCATTTTGCTGTGTTCTTATGATGATGCATGCACAGCATGAAAGATGCAGTGTGTGCCTTTCTTCAAAACTAAAAGTCACCTACAAATTATTTCTTCTGTAAGATCTAAAATGTTGATGTAATTTGATGAACCACTAGTAATTTTAGTTTCGATATTCCTGATTCAATGAAATAGTATATTACGTTACTAGTCCTGAAAATAAGTGTTTACCGGACGAGTGTGGTCGTTCCCGTGGGAGACGAAGTCGAGTACGGGCTTACCATACGAGTCCTGTACACACATTTTGGATGAGTTGCGTACGATAGTTTGGGCCATACTAACAAATCTGTACAAATCCTTATATATTTTCACCAACTAAAGGACTAAAAATCACTAGTCATAAACCTCTAAGAGAGGTTATGTTTTTGTTTATAACCATTCATTGCCACCTAAATACAGTATAATCAGCTGAATGGTGTCCGGTAAAACTCAGTACAGTACAGTAGTACGCAATGAAACCCCATTTGAATAAGCTGGCGGCAAACAGCTGTTTTCTGGACTAAATCCTTGCGTAGGAAGTTCGTCAAAATAATGTAGTGTGGCGTAAAAAATGTGATGTTTTGTTCAACCAGTGGCGGCCCGCTGTAGAGGCTATAGCCTCCCATTGTACCCTGGAAAAATGTATTTAAACATGCATTTCTTCCTAACAATGTAATGGAAGGTTTTTGACCCAGTTCTAACAGGAGGAGGTTAACTGCTCCCCTTTGGCCGTGAGGCCATGGTGCGAAATGTTTGCCTTGACTGTACTCTCTTTCTTACCTGACCTAATGGACGTTCTTTCTGAAACCAAAGTATGAATCACTTCCGTAGCGTTTATATGAGGTCAACTCATGGTTTATATGAGGCTCATGTTTTCAGAGGTCAACTACTAGGTCTGAGGGATAGGTTAGGTTAGGAATACCGTATCTTCAGCCAATGTAATTGGATCTTCAGCTTTTGACCAAAACCAAATTTGATAACGCACTATGTTACTTCCGTAGTGGTACAATTTTTAGAGGTGTAATTTTTTTTCAAGGGGGGGGGGGGCAATTCACCTACATCCAAAAGAGAACCTAACTGTCAAGGCTAAAACTTTGCTCCACAACCTCGCTGGCGCAACAGCCAAGGGGGAGCAATTTACCTACAGCCGTTCTAACAATGGCTTTAAAAACACCCCTTTTTTCTTGGGAAGCGGCCGTGGTGGAACACCCCTGGTAAGCTCCCGAGAAATAATGCTGGGCACAAGCTAAATTTATATTTACACATCATCAACCACATACTGTATTTGCTTTAAGTAAAAAGGGGAACATTTTTTGATAAGAGGCAAGAGATTTAACTTTCATGTGCAATGCAAAGAAAATCTATAGTTATCTTAGTGAATGTAATGTGTTTACAAATACCCATAATAACCTCCCCCAATGTACCAATGTAAGTGTTTTTTTTTAATATATCCCTGTCAAAAAGTTAAGTTAATTTTTGTAATAGAATGTTTGTGCGTCTCTCTCTCTCTCTCTGTACTGTAATTGAATTTGTAGCTTGAAAGAAAGTCAGCATTCATCTTCTAAAGTTGGGATTCTTTTTTTATTTTAAAGTTGATTCCCAAACGATTGGCAGAAAAGGTTGGTCTTTTCTTTACATAGCTTAATCAGCTCTTAAATCCAACCCCGCCTCATCTGGGTTCTGAAATCGAGTTAGTAAACCAAGTGATGCTACTAAAAGGCAATTGTTTGCTGTAAGGCTCATTGTCTGAATTTTAGCCGCATAGTTAGATGGGTTGCTCATACCCTAATCGACGCCAAAGAAATCTGCATTACAATGTCCAATCTTTTACTACTGTTGTTGAATTGAAGTAAGGCATTGTTTCTGCCGACAAACAAACCTCAGGACAAGACCCAAGTCTTATGGGAAAGGATTGATTCTCCTGTTAGGTTCTCCTAGTTGCCGAATACAGCCAAATTTGTGACTATCATGAAGGTTTCTCTGGTGCCTGCATTATAGTTTAAAGTCCCTGCTGAATTCGGTAGCTAGGAAAACCCCCCAGATTGGTGATGTGCAGTTTTCTATGGTGGTTTGATATTTCTTTTGGAGGTACTTAAGAACTAGGAGGTACTGCAAGTTGGGGACGGACTCAGACAAGATTGTTCTAAATTTTCCAATGCCTTTGCCACAGATATTAGTGCTGGACCAGCTGAGCACTCCATGTACACTTATTGGCAAGATAAGTGTTATCTATTAACCTCAATAATCAGGTCACTGTGTCCATTTTGTACTTTAGGATCTATATTTAGAAATGTGCAACAAATATCTGATATAAAACTCTTTTTTCCTGTCGGTGAGTACAATACTCTATTAAAACTACAATTGTCCTTTTGTCACCATTGAATCTAAATCTACATCAATGAGAGCCTCATGAATAAAGATCATTTTGACTTTTGACTTGAGTTTGAAATACCAAATGTGTGCAGAGAGCCTTTTAATTGTTAGAATAATACCTTTGAATATTATTAGAACTAGTCATACCATCCCCACCAACTGTTATGTATAACTTTTAAATCACAATTTTACAGCATTTGGGGTTGTACCATTTTATATACAACTAGCTGAACCCGGCTGACGTTTTCTTGCCTTTGACTATTTATAATCCCGCGGGCTTTGCCCCGTTTAACTTCTTAATTTTCAAGATGATCTCGTTTGCATGGCTCAATCACGTCCTGGTTGAAGTTCGTTCGCTACGCTGACTCACCTTTAGGTTGGAGCTCGTTCGCTACGCTCACTCACCTTTAGGTTGGAGCTCGTTTGCTGCGCTCACTTGCCTTCAGGTTAGCTCGTTCGCTACGCTAACTCGCTTCCAGGTTGAAGTTCGTTCGCTACGCTCACTCACCTTTTGGTTGCAAATTAGCTGTTGTCATAAATGTAAAAGAAATAATAGTGCTGCACCCTGTTGGTAATCCTTGTAACTTTAATGCTATTGAACATCATAGAACAGAACCAACTTGTTTAATTGAAACAGCTGTTAAGATTCATTAATTCCATTTCTCATAAGGTTAACATGGGAAACTCCAGACCCACTGGGGCGGAGCCGATTGGACGGATCACGAAATTGATGGTGTATAAACCTATTCCATGACATTCTACACGTGTCCATGACATTCTACACGTATGTACCAAGTTTCGTGGCAATCGGTTCAGCGGTGTCTGAGTTTATCACTGCCAAACAAACAAACAAATATATATATACAAACATCCTTTTGTATACTTATAGATTAAAAGCAATAATAAATCATCATTAAAATGGTTTGAGCCGTTTTTGAGAAATTCAATTTATTTTATTTTATGAGTTTTATTGCCAATAAAAATCCAAATTTCAGAAAGATTTAAAAAAATTCTATAGATACCATGTTTTAGTACCCACTTTTCAAATTTCATCAACATCGCACCACAGGTGTAGTGTGTAGCTCTGTACACATTCCCACGTACAGACATCACTTCAAAAACCCATATTTTTGGGTTCAGGGGGGACCCATTACCATATTTCCACCCAAAACTCAAACATGTTGATGAAAACAATACTTTCACCATATATATAGCCTATATATATACTAATATGCATAGGGGGAAAAGTAAATAGTTATTGGTGTAACTAGTGTGCAAAGTGGCACTTTGCTGCTCATGAGAGAAATGTTTATGCACGAGCCGCAGGCGAGTATTTTAACAAGTATTTTAGACCAGAGCGAACTCTTGACTGGCTCTGGCTCATTCAACGATGTTCATTTTTAATAAAAATTGGCAACACGTGGCCCATAGCCAAGTAGACTGATATCTACTCCAGTATCAGAAAGTCAAGGAGTACAGTATAACAATGACAATTTAATGATGATAAATTGTCAGTTATTCCAAGTCTATCACCACTAACCCCTTTATTTTTAAGGGGGCTTAGTAATTTCTGTGTCAACATAAAGGCATAGTTTCCTTTTCTCTTTTTTTGTTCTTAAGTTAGACACTGTCAAAAGAAATTCTGTGTAAATATCTGAAAAGAATTTGGCGGTAAATATTAGAAAACGGGTCATATTTTTGGTGTGTTCACAATCAGTTACTTCCAATCATCAATTTTAAACTTGTCTTTGTAACTGCCAAACCATCTACTTCTGAAGAAGCCTCTGAAAGAGGCAAAATATCAAGTCTATTTTGTAAATAGGTAGTTATTTTTTTTACTTCGACTTGGCTGCAAACTTTCCTCTGGTGATTTAGCTGTGTCGTGTCCTCTCCATCCTATATGATTTTTTAAATCCAAGCGAAATGCTTTTTCCTAAAAACAATGACTCTTTTTTTATTATTGTTAAAATCATGGCCATATTGGTCAGAGTAAAAACACTTTCTGATTTACAGGTTGAATTTATTTTTGCACTTCTTTACATCAAATTAGAAATTAAAAACTATTTCCTGGCAATCTAGGATCCTAATATTACATATAAACATATATTGGCTGTTTTTCTTAAAGGTAAACAAAGTACAAATGAAAATACTGATACACAGTCAGTCCCTAATTTATCTGATGTTTCAAAAATATTAAATGACTAGTTAATTTAAGTTGCACTGATTTACTATCTACGTACTTGCATAATGTGTTTTAAAAATTTATTACAGTATAAGTTATAAAAATATATTTTTGAATCGATCAAAGAATTAATAAAAAAATATTTAAGGCAATCAATGTGTTAAGAACTCAGTCCCTTATCGTTTGAATTATCTTTTATATTTTTTTAGGTTTATCTCTAATTTTATCAAACCAAATTGAACGAGTTTCCATAAAACATTGATACGACAAAAAACTGTAAAAATACAAAAATCTTTACACTCACATTTAAAATTTCACGCTCATTCCATGTAAACTGTACAAGGTAGACTTAAATTCATCATATCGAACGATACAACTTACTTCACTAAGCTAAAAAATTACCTAACTAAGACTCAATATGAGCCATGGCCATAAAATAAGAATTCCTAGAGCGGGTATTTTTCTGGAAAATACCCGCTAAGGTACCCAGTTAAACAAATCCGTCCGGACGTGTCTGCGGAATACATGAAAGGAATATTTACAACTCGGATATGTACACCTAGGCTACTGGAATATCACTTGCCCTCGAGCGATGGCACTCAGATGGCACCCGCTCCGCAATACTGCAATACTGCTCGGTACCGAATAAATTAACCCTAACCGAAAATCTACAGTGGATTTTACATCTAATTTGAATGTGAATTTCCAGCTGAGACTTGGAGTCGCAGCAGGGAGGTTGGGGTGTATTCAATAAACATAGATGGTCTTGAGCTGGTCTCGGAGCTCGGCTGGTAATGTGTACACCTCCTGGGGTGGCTTCTTCTTGACCAGACGTCGCCACTTGCCGCTGAGATTCTTGCGAAGACCCTTGCACTCCCTGGGCTCCTCGCAAGCCACGCTGTGTACCAGATTGTCCTGCAAAAGGACAAAATTGGTCAACACGCTGTACCCAGAAATGTACAACAAACCATTTTTGTCCACCTGGAAGAAGATGGGGTGTTGATTAGTATGTGTAAAAATATAGTTTAATATTCTTGTCTTGTCATCAAAAGGAATACAAGTGAATTACTGTATATTGTTTTGAATTAAAGAAAATATGTCCTAGAAATACTGTAATTAGTTCTTGGATTATCAAAAACCGGCCTCAACAGTCTTGAAATAGGTACATAGGTACTATAACCATAGACAAATAGAATAAATATAGACGGTCAGCTGTGCTGCGGCTAGCATAAATTCTAGCTCACCGTTGCAGCGTCTGCTGGTCACACGGCTCCTGCGCTTCTTCGCCTGCAGCGGTGTGCACCATAACCATAACTACACGGCACTCCTAGCGGTGGCCGCCGGAACCTTCCTTTGACAGTCTATATTTATTCTATTTGTCTATGCTATAACTGAGCAAATAGATTGGGACAACTTGGTTAGGTATACTTGGAGCCAAGAGGGAAAGAAGTGTGGAATGAGTCTATTTGAAAATTTTACCCTGAGTTAGCCCCATTAAAAACCCAAACTTGTCAATAATTGTAACAAAATATCTACCAGATCAAATTCACCCTTTTCTAAATTTACCACCACTTGGCAGGCGTTCCGGGCAAAAACGTTTCATTCGCAATTTGGCAGGGTAGACAAAGTCAACGCCGTCGTCTTTGTTAGTCTTTGGCCACATGACAAAACCACGAGCGTGCTGTCCCAAGTCTCGATAGCAATGATAAGTTTTAGTGGTCTTTTCCCGTTTCCCTGGTTTATTTGATTGCGGATTCGCGGGTTAACTTTGTGCTCATTATACAGTTAGTTATCACGCTTGCCAATTATACGAAAAGCACAACGCAGGCGTTTGCACGCACGACCTTGGATCATAAGAGATATGTCACGGGTCTAAGACACGTGTCGAGACCCAACACAACAGAGACACGTCTTCAGTTACAAGACCAATGTAGGGAATACAGAGTGAGTAGCCTGTGGTAGGTGAACGGTCTCTAAAAGATACAGTGTTGCCACATCTGATTGCGGTGTTGTCTGTGCCGTTGCTCTTGAATACACATCAAGTACTATACACAATTTCGAGCCCTCGAGCATTCCAGAAATGGCAACGTGAAGGATTGAAACGATTGACTTATCTGACTGAATAACTGTGTTGTGGGTGTGTGTAAGTTATCAGAAGATAAATAAACGTCTTAATACATCCAAAGAATTTTATTTAGGAGGCACTCCAACTATAAAGAAAAAAACTAAATTACAGTTCAAACTTATGTAGCCTGGACAATTAACTGTACTCTGCAGCTGTGAGCTGATAATGACAATCAGTGTTGCCAAGCTACAATCTCCATTGGTGCCAACCTAGCGGGGACAGACCCGACCTACTTCCCCCACAACGGTGTCACGGGCGCTTGCTCGACGCTCGCTACTGCAACGGTTAGCAAAACAAAGAGGTTTTACACCCTTTGCACCCGACAATTGCACGCGCTGATGTTTATCCTTCGAGAAAACTACGACCAAAGGTTATTAGTCCGTAGAGGGCACTGGAAAGAGTAAACGTTTACACGACAACAAGGCTGTCTCGTGTTTACAGCTGTGTTAAAGTGTGTGATTGGTAAGGGACACCCACCTAGTGACCTAGCTAGACCATTGATTATATATACACAATGGTGTATATAAATCGAATATAAAAAATTCATAGCAAATGCCCATTCGCGACATAGTTTCCTATTTTGAAATACAATAAAACAGAAGAATAGAAGAAAACAGATAAGTCTTTAAGTGTTAAAAAGAGGTAATGTAATGAAAAATACTTTGTCGATGTAATTATAGAAACTAAACAAAAACTATCAGTCGGAAGAAACATAACCAGTAGAATTCACCATCATTTCGTCCGTCATTACCTCGCGCTTTCAAACAACTGCATGATGGGAGCCTCGCCATGGCGGCCTCGGCACAAACCTTCGACCGGGACCTCGGTAACTCGGCGTTGTGGATATTGTCAATGCAGTGTCACCCGTATGCCTTGAATACCGATATCTACCTTGGTCTGTCCCCGGAAACCATAATTGTGTAATCGAGGTCTATTGATTATCATTTGGTTTGCACTGACGCGGAGCTTTGTTATTTTAGGTACTGTAACTGTATTTTGGTGAAAGTTAGTTTGTAATAGTTGTGTGATTTGGCTGGATTTAGATTCGAGCAGCAAATCCTACCTGTTGTCGAGTGTACCGCTACTGTAGGCCTATAATCCTACAATCCTACATCTAGATCCAAACATCATTATAATTTCAGTAAATTCTCTGTCTAATGATCCAGAAACTGCTCTATTTTGAACTTGTTACAAATAACCCGCCAAAGTGATTGGTCCCTACATTTTTGAAATACTAATCTTCATCGTATAAAGTAAAGGTTATTGGACGGCTGTTTCAATATACTAAAAAATGTTGAGTAAAAATTCCCCAAATAGCCTTTTTGACAAAAAACAATTGGACGTAAAATGCTTCACAACTGTACTCATGTGTAGAAGCCCGTGTACGGGATATTCTTTAGGACTAAACTCCTAACTTTAGACTAACTAAATAACAAGTAAAATAGCATTTTCGAAAATAACGTATTTTGAAATCGTGTTTTGTAGCCTCAGACGGTCGGATATTTTCTTTTTCTACCTACAGTCGGTGCATTCAAAGGCCACAGCCCCTGAGAAGGTTTTTGTTCAGCCCCAGGTCTACAACACTATCGATCCTGAGCACCCTCGTCACATCCCTCACCCCAGTCGCCCAATCCCTCGCCCAAGGTCCCACGGCCTCCAGCACATCGACCGTCTCCCCCTTGCCGAGGTTGGAAATAGCGGCTCAATAATAGACGCGTGTCGTGTGTGGCGGTCACGCGCTGGTGTACAGTATCGTTATTCCAAACAATATATAACCATTGGCATTAACTAACAAAGCCATAAGGATAAAATAAAGTGTTAAGTCAAATACGCTTATATTTCAACGGTTTCCCACGTAATACAGCTCGATTAGCCTGAATTGCATACACATAGTGTTCCATAGTCAATTATTTTCAAACATGATTTTGGTCTAGGGGCCTAATAAAATCTCCTACGCTAAACATCTAAAACTTGTCATAACAAGATAAATCTCCTATATAAATCTCCTACTATTTTTCAGGTGGCAGTAATCAACTCGATTGCCCTCTACATTTACGATCGATAAGATGGCATTGTATATGTGTGCGAGTGTCTATAGCGTATAGACGAGTTAAGTGTCTATATTTCAGTCACCATTACTCGGGCAATCCTCTCCTCCCGAGTCAGTGAACTCGTTGCGACGATTACAACCCGTAACGTATTTTTCAAACAGCTGTCCGGGTTTTGAACTCATCCCCCCTCCAAGATCAAGGGCAATGTCGGGACTGGTAAAAAGAGTTTGAGGCCAATGACCCCCTCAAAACGGAGCGCCGCGGCGCGGCGATGTTTTGATTTTGACTTTTGAAACTATCGTTAAACACAAAATTAATACCTGACTTTACAAGAAATTTACAATAACCTATGTAAAAACACTGATTTGTAACTTGGATGTTTTGAATCTTATCATTATGACGATCTGCTTGCGCTCCCCTTATCAATCGACACGTTCACATAAATAGGCTATCAATGTTAGCGCTAAAATAGACTGACTTATGTAAACTTCATCACGAAACTTGTAAGCTAACGCACTACGTACTAAACATGGGAGATTTTAGTGTACAAAACAAATCAATGACTGTTTTTTAATCTGCAAGGACAAAAATGCCCCAATGTGATCTGCCTAAAAAGTGTAATTAATTATGTTTTAGCTTAGCTTAATGTTTTAAATGTTTAATCAGGGCCTAAAAAGTGTAGAATACAATTTGAGTAACGGTACAGCAACTTAAGAGAAAAAGAATATGAAAACTACTGATTTACTGTAACAACTTTTCCGAAACAATCACAAGACAAAGATCTTATTCTCGGATCAGTTCATCCTAATGAAATGTAATTAATTGTTTGAATTAGATTGTGATAAAGATTACGCTAGACGATAAGGTACATACTACATGCCTATTTATTGAATAGGCGAAACATGTTGTGAGTTTGACTACCACATTAGAACTAAAGGACCTCATATTTGTCTAATAGGGGCTAAATTGTGAACCATTTTTATATTGTCTATAAAATATTACAATGGTCTATAAGTCAATGGTCTCCATTGATTTAGTGAAACCAGGGGCATAATTTGAAAAGGATCGGTGAATATTTCCTGTGATCTGTCGATCTGTCTACATATGAAATTAAACACACAGGACTGGCCTGTGGCTACTAAAGACTTCGGAAAGTCTATAAGATAGCCTACAGTCATTGGTGTTTCCAATGAATTGTTTGACTTACTACAAACTACCACCCCTTTAGTCTATGAAACTACTGTACAATGAGTGTTGGTTGACATACCTCATCGTTGTTGTACAGGGTGTACTGCGAGGAGGCCGTGGTGGAGCAGCGGCTGTTGGTCCACAGGAAGGGCGGAGGCAGAGACTCCTGGCTGTCTCTAGGGCAGGAGACGACCACCTCCTGGCACTGAGGCTGCTGTTGTTGCTGAGGGACCTGCTGCGTCTGCTGCTGATGGTGTATCACGTTGTTGTTATGGTTCGTCGTCACCGTCGTGTGCAGGTTGTCCTCCCGCTTCCTCAGCTTGCTGCGAACCAAACGAATGGCGATCAGATGATTGCCGTTGCCACCTGCCATCAGTTTCAGACTATTCCTAAGAGCTCCGCAGTTAAAGCGGTTCTTGATCGAAACCGTCTTTTCCGCCTCGGACTTATCCGACTTCGGCTTGTTGGGGTAGGTGATCACGTCACCGAACGTAACCTGTTTGTTGGGCATTTTAACTAACTTAAGAGGAACCAGATAAATGTCGCTCACAGCCTAGAACCGCGGGGCGGGTCACTGCGGTTCGACGTAAGCGACGAGGTCCGCTAACACTTTGGTCTGAATATCACAGTCGGTTGTACGAGAGTACGGGCCCGTTAGGAGTTGAACATCTTCTACGGGTGAAAACGCAACGTCAGGTTTCCAAACCGCGCTACGCAACACACGGAGTTGAATCTCCACTGAACCACTAGACACAGTAACCACACGAAGCAGCACCGAGCACAGGGTAACACTAGAATATCCAATTGCACGTGTACAGTGTAAAAACTGTGTGATTATTAGCACTTCGACGGACAACCACCATTTGACACAACGCACCACCAACCAGCGAAACGCTGTCGGCGTGGACTGAGAATCGGGCGACGCGTCAAACGAGGTTATTTAAACGACAGCCGTGACGTCACGAGCTGCCGCGCGCTCATTGGCTACAGATGTTCAGTCTCGACCAATGGTGGCTCGCGTTGCACTCGTTAGTTCTCACACTCGCCGCGGTTTTCCGCCGCGCCCCTGTCGCGCCTCGTGTACACCACCCCTCGGTCTCATTGTTACAATTTCAACCCCGTGCTCTATGAACTGCCTTTGTCGATTGGTAAACGAGTAAAATTTTCGCATTAATTGACTTGAGAATATCGGGTTTTTAGTTCTAGAGACATTACAAAAAATTATCCATAATGCGAAGGTACAGTAATAGTTTCTCACCGAAGTAGTCATTATAATGAACAAAACTTGTATTGTAGCCTATATAGCTCTAAGTGTATATTTGTTTATAATGTAATTGGAGGGAAAGTGAAGAATTCTTTTTCGTTCTTTTAATAGCTACAGCTACACTTTGTTTTGTGGTCCATCCCTGTATTCAAACGGATGGGAAGGATAGGAATAAAATTTAATATTTCTAGTCTATGTCTTAGCGCAGACAAGAGCAGTCATAAGAAAATACTCTTATGTCGTAGTTAGTGTCTAAGGGTGCTAAAGATTGTTCTAGTCGGCTCCGTTCCTTTTAACTGAAAGCTAGTCGCGTATCGGGGTTAAATGCGTATTCGATATTCCTAATGTACGAAAAATACAAAAAAAACTGCAACTCTGAGGAGACACGATATAGTACTGTACTTTAGCATTAAAGTAGGCAAACATTTAGAAGTCTACTAGTGAAATTCTAATCTATAGCGCTTGATGGACTAGTTTTCGTTAAAAGAAGAGGGAAATCGTAAAAAGAGCGAAGTTATTTTTAGAGTGATGAGAAGTAGTTTCGAGACCCGTGGGTCGATTTGATAAGAGGTTATCAGGGTCACATCACCTCAGTTTGGTTGATGGAACATTTTTGTCTCAAACACAAAACATACAAGCATTTACATGGAGGCTGTGTTATGCAACTTACTGATACCGCGACAAGGACAGGGTGATTGTAAAGATTATGTAAAAGATCCAACGGAAAAATCAACTAAAAATAATCCTCCAAATCTGCATAACTCTCATAACTGTTATTTCAGTGTATTCGTTAATAAAACTGTCAGTTTTTGGAATAATTTTTCTCCATACAAGAATACCTAGGTTTTGTTTGTATTATAATTCACAATTCGAGATATTCATTAACACAATTTAAGCGAAACAAATATCAATTAAATATGCTCATCAACATCACCATACAATTTAAATTTACTCAAATTGCCTACATTGTTCAAGAATTTTTGAAAATCATTAGCACTTATTTTCGGTTACACTGTAGATTACTATAAATTAAAATAACTAGTCTTGGGTATACAGGCAAAGATAAGGACAAAAATACCCCTAAAATTAATGTTTTAAAGTGGATTAGCTAAAAATTGGACTTCTTCGTCACGCACGGCTTAAAGAGTTAGAGGTTTCGTGTGTAATTCCAATTTTATCATGTGAAAGTGTTTTGTCAACAATGCAACAATAGAAAACAACATATTTATGCTTCGTCTACATCCTAAAAGTTTATTAACTGTACCTATTATGAAGAGCAAAATTTATTCAATTTTTCATTTGTTTGATGCACTTGCCAGTTCAGGTTTGACCATGACGTACAAACTGAACCAATATGACAACAATACAGTAGAAACAGCTGATTTAACCCGATATCAATTAATTATTGACTATGTTTATGGTTCAGCTGTTTAAAATATTTGATAATTATTAAACAATAGTAACAGCTGATTTCAACCCCAACAGTTACATTATGGTGACATCGACTAATTTCGCAGAAGAAAATAAAATAGAACAGAGTAGCTTATAATACATCGTATCATTATTACGATTTATTTGTGTCTATCCTAATATGCTATTGTTTATTCCACAATAATAAACCTTCCTTTGACGATATTTAAACAAATTAAACATATCTGAACAATTCAAATTTTCATTACATTGGCGAAGCATTCCTCTTACATTTACCTGGCTTAAGAATTGTAACAGCTGTTTGTTTACAGTGGCCTAACATAATCGACATTATTTTTTGATTTAAGCTATAAATCAATAAAATGCACAAAAAATATGTTTATTTATTTAATTGTTGTTGCAGAACGAAAAATTAAGCATTTTCGTGCCTCCCTCATTCGCTTCGGCTATCGAAGAGAGTTTAGTTAAAACTTGGCTTATCGTTATCGACCACATTGGAGGACGAACTTTAGAGTAGAGAATCAGAAGAAAGTTTCTCGTCGACTTAATTGAACACATTTAATTAATTGTTTGCCAGCGCATGATCTGCCATGCAGTGGCGTGATGCTACACCAGTGTACTGTACTTCAAACTGCTGCAATTATTGCCATCATCAGTAATTAGAAGAAACGGTGAAATGCGCACTACACGAACTTTATCGTGTGGTGTTTATTTATTGAAGTATTTTGGGTTCTGTCATGTGTAATTTTTTATTTTTTGTGTTATAGATGATTTTTATTCATCGAAAATATATGCCTGGTTTGAGGTTTAAAGAACTGCAAAATAGAAATATTTTATAAGAATATTTATTAGACAGACAAAACAATTTAAATATTTTGATTGATATTTGTTTGATCATATTTGACACATGTTGTTTGGTTTGAGTTTATTTTTAATTAAAACTATTTTACCATTAAGTGTAGCCTATAAATAAAATTGGAAAACTTTTAAAGGATGTCACTAAGTGTGTAGGAAATTCGAAATAATATTGTTTACCTATCAATTATGGCTGCAAGTCATATGCAAATGAAAAAATATATGCAAAATAAAATCAAGAGTCAAAACTAGGGGTTAAACAAGACTGAGATAAGTTGTACAAAACAACGTTTCTACGCACTGAGTTACAAAATAAAAACACGTTTTACAACAGTTTTGTTGAATTCACAAACATATTTATAATTGCGCAAAATAAGTTTAACTGTTAAACCCCCCATAAAAAGCACGACCTGGGCATAACTACGTTTACTAGAAAACAGCTGATTACAAGCTCTCTCTTGTCATGAACATACGTGGTAATTTTCAGCTGATTAACATTACCTTATCTTTCAGCAAACACGTGGATTGGTCCATAAATTAATTAAGATTAGGCGATGAGATTACGTGCCACTCGAAAAACTTCCATAATTCCATGTGGTTGGTTGTTATGTTGGATTATTGTCTTAGCGATTACTGCATAGGAAAACTAGATCAAGAACTGTGCACAAGTTCAAGGGAAATTTGACGAGGAAATTGGTATCAACAAATTTACCCGTCCTTTCTGGGCATAGGCCTGTATTCTTCCCCTAAACAATAACAAACATCTATTCACGCAGCACAACTGACTTTGGTGAGAAATTTGATCCATAATGCAAAAACATCGAACGAAAGCAAAGATAGATAGTTTTTATTGATATTGAACCAAAAGTGTTATATTTACGGCAACACATTTTAATTGTCTTGCCAAAAATCAACAAAACATATATCGATTAAGTCCAGATGGTAAAATAAAACAAGTACAGTATTGTTTTTTTTTAAGCGAGGATTACAACAAATATTTGCTTATTAGTCTTGTAGCTTTTAAAACAACGTTTAATAAATTTATCTGGAGTGTTAAATGTTCATAAATATTAAGTGTTATCACAATCACTCAATTATTAATAGGCCTAACTACTATTAAGCAGGCAGGTTTGTCACAGTTCAAAAATTACTAAAGCAGGTTAGGTAATGGATACTTTGCACCTACCTACTAATTAAATACCACTAAAATCGAACAACTGCAAGAACAGATGAGACATACTTTTACAACGAAATCCATGTGTTTCGGTTAAAAGTGCATTACATTAAACATACATTAGAATGCAATGCTTACGTCAAAAATGCTTTACAATAAAATGTTTTTAATCTTCAGGGAGGTGTAACTTACAAAGTATAACTATAGTTCAACACCTCATCATCATAGTAATGACACATATAACAATTTAATTCTCTACGAGTAGATTGTTATCTTGTGGCTTACCATATACTGTATTTGGCGTGTGAGAAGTAAAAGAAGGTGGTGAACATGATGACTAGAGATGGGACACCCGCGAACGCGACGACGACGACGAAAGGACTGCCGAGGAGTTGAGGGTACAGGGTGCAGGAACCAGCAAGATATTGGGAATTCAAAGGTCAAGGGGTAACGTGCTTCCTTATCACACAGTCTGCTGGGGGTAGATATTTAGTTGAGGGGTATTTTTTAAATTTGGGAAAACAAATATTACAACAATATCAATATCGTGTTCGATATCAGCTAAGAATTCACTACCGATTGTCTTAAATATTTTGCTGTAAGATATAATTTTAATCTAAAACAAACCAAAGATCAGGTTGTAAAACCCAGGACAGTGGGAAATTACATAGAACAATGTTTGACGTGAAGTAAAGAATAATGTGTTATCTTATATATCGTGCATTTTTGAAGATTTTAGAGTGATCGGTAAGTTTGTGATTTAATATCACTATATAACTGAGAAAAATTAATAATAATGATAATGTAGGCAAACTTAAGTGTATAGTTGGAAGAAAAAACATAAACATTAGCAACCATAAACATAAACATAACCAACCAACAGAATATAAAGCATACAGTAAAGTAAATTGTGTTTTGCAGTTCTTTGGACTGTTAAAGGATTATTGGACCAAAATCACTTTAAGGGTAACTACATAGTATCTATGGTAACTACCACTGTACCAAACTGGCTAGGTAACTGAGATATTATAGTGCTCACCTAGCAATAAAAAAGCTGAGAAAAGTCAGTAGCTTTTCGATGGTTCAAAACTGGACCAAGTTATTCCTGATCCTATAAATAAATGATCCTGGCTAACGAAACAGCTGATCTTAGTCAGTAACAAAGCTACACACTCATTTCATTCTACACTCTACACTT